CACAGTTCAAATTGCCATCCCTAGTAATGTTATCTGTTATTAATGACGGTGTGCCCTTTGACTCACTGGTGATGCATTTTAATGTATTGGATTCATTGTTTCTTATATCGATTGTCGAATTGAAAAATAAATATTGAATTGTTATTACTAGATTGAAATCATCATAGAAGATCTTGAAGCCGACTCCTTTTTTATGCTCTAATCTCCTTTGCAAAAACAAATAATTAATCTACTCACAAAGGGCTGTAAAGGAGAGTTGCAGGCCCTTAATGGGCCTACACTAGTTGGAAACTCATTAATTTCGGGTCTACCCGATAACCACCGCACACACGTGCAAAAGAATTGTGCGATGGACTAAAATGGCGCAATTGATTGGGTTGGGTTGTTGGGGAGTGGGTAGGACAACATGGGTGTCATCTCAAAGCGGCCCACCCGCACGAGTGGTTAGGTATGTTCAACTCCAATCGCGTGTTTATCAGGGTCAACCCGCCAAGGGTTTCCTTTTCTTCTTTTCCTCTTTTGTTTTTTTTTTTTTCCTTTTCTTTTAATTTTTTTCGTGGGGAGTTTCTAGTTTGGCACCGACTTACCTTAGTCATCCCCAATCGATTTCCCGTTTGACTTGTTAAATTTATAATACATTTTTCTCTCTAACCACACATATTTTAATAAAATAATATTATATATAAATTTAAAAAAATTTCTTATTTTTCAACCAAACATTTTTCAAAAAAACACTCTTCCAACAATTATAATATCAAATAATGGAGATCAAACGGAAGCTTAATTTTTAGTAAAAATTATTTCGTAGACGAGATCTCAAACACCAAAATAATTATGACATGTATATTTATTTAACAAATAACAAAACTCATTATAGTCAATGTATTATTTATCTGATAAATTACTCGAGGAATAAGTTGGATGAAGATAGCAAGCTCCAGATATTTGATGCCTGATTACGATTCATACAATTGAATCGATATCCTAGCAACTAGAGGTTAGTTTTCAAATTTAAGTAATATTAAAATCGTTAGATCGGACACTGTAACTGGACAAGACGATGAAGACAAACTTTGATTTTGTGGCATGTATACGGAATAAAAAGCCCAACGAAATGGTCGAACTGATTAAATTCTCTATAATGCACCAAAAAAGGGAATTCTAGCAATAATGTAAGCTCCAACTTTTTATTTCAAGCAAATAATGCCCTTGTTTGAGCCCTATTTCATCAAAAACTTACTTTTTTTTTTTCAAAATTCATTTTCAACCATACATTCTCCAATAAAATAATTTTATATACAATCGAAAAAACATTTACCCACACATTTTCTAAAAAACACTATTTTAAATTTCATTTTTTTTTTCCCAAAATGGAGTTCAAACAAGGGCATGCTCTTATTTTGTTTAAATTTTTTCAAAATTGATCTAAAATTATCGCATCATTTTTATTAATATATAATGTACAACATGTCCAATATTTCGGTGCAAATCTCAATAATTTGATAAGGAGTCAAAAACTTTATAGAAATCAACAATGTTACGAGTACAAGGAAATTTTACAGGTTCATTTTGTCAAATGTCGAGTGCAACACTACATTGGTCTGTTTTAATCGATTGCTTTCAATCGGCCAATCCAAAAATGTTACCTACCTCCCCTGTGCGCATGGTTTTTTCTCTAGAAATATATGTAGATGAGGTACTTTACCAAGGGTCGGGCTCCAGATAGTTAGGGGCAGACAATGTGGGTAGGGTCTAAACCCAGCCCAAGCCCAAGCCCAAGCCCACTAAATTTGTCAAATATAAATGGGACCCTTTTTGCACTGAATCATTATTATGTACACGTGCAACTAATTTACTCTTTGGACAAATAAGTGACAAAGTTTGCAGCATAGATTGGAGTAAAAAACTGGTCCTATTCTTATTATCTGTGGGATAAGAAACTGATCTTTTATTAAAAAATTTGACACGTGTATAATTTTTTATAAATGGATGATAATAAATCTCGAACCCGAATATTTTTCTTTAATATTAAACATATATAATGAACAAACTTTTTATTTTTTATATTCTCAGCACTTTTATCCATGTTTGTCTTATATTCTTTCAAACCTCTGTTTCTACATATTTATTTTCAACCACATTCACAAAATAAAATATTGTACACGTAAAATTAAATTTTTTTCTTACTTTTTAATTACACATTCTTCAAATAGTACCTATTCTAAACAATTTTTTTTTTTAAATGGCCACTTAATAGGGGCTTAAGAATATATTCAAGAGACTCTATTTAAAGATAATATTTTACAATTTAGAGAGTATCAATAAATTTAGAGAGCAAAATTTTAAATATTTCAATCGACTCTTTATATTGAACACTTAATTTTACTACTCCTATAAATATTTATCTCTTTTCTTTAATCACATGTAGACGTCAAGATTATACATGAATTAATACTAAAAGGCAAAATCATCCACTCAAGCCCTAGGTTCTTGATAAATTTTAAAGAAGTTAGGGTAATTGTATTTCATATTTGAACAGAAATTGTTATCAATGATAGTGTGTCATGTGTCGGGATGTAAACAAGTCGGGCAGAGCCGACTCGCAAGTCGAAGATTACAGCTCGCGTGTAGCTCGGGCATAAATTGTTCAAGTTTTTTTTGGCCTGAATCGAGTTGAAGTGATTAGCTCGAGCTTTAGGCTAGGACCTTATTGGGTCGAGCTGGCTCGTTTTTTCCTTCGTTTTTAGGATAGGCGGCAGGCGGCTTCACGTAACATGTTTTAGGCAGTTGCCTCCAAGGCAACCCGGCTTCAGACCGCCCCAGGACAACTTGGCTCTGTCTTTATTTGAAAAAGAAGTTTGGCCAGAGCCTTGGCTTGGTTCCATCGAGTTGCGAGATGAACAAGCTTGAATTTTTATGGGTCGAGCTACGGATTGTAAGAGCCGACGAACCGGATTGACGTCCCTAATCATGTGTGCTAACTAACTGAAGAAAGGTCAAAAATGTGATAGAAAAGTTAAGGACATAAGTACAATAATTGTATAAGTTGTGGGACCCTAATTGCAATTAAATTATGGTTCATCAAACAAAAATTGTGGTGTCAATATAATTACCCAAAAAGTTATTATAAAAGAATAATGAACCGTCTGAGTAGATTTTGAAAAACACCAAAATAGTAATTTCACATATTATGATTTAGTTTATGGCAATTGTGCTCCTGTTTGACATCTATTCTCTTTCTTTATTTCAACCACACATTCTATTAATAAAATAATATTACACATAAATCCAAAAATTCTTTTTACTTTTTAACCACGCATTCTTCCCATCAATCACTATTCCAAAATTTATTCTTCTACAAAATGGATGTCAAACACAACAATTGCGCTTGTTCTCAACATTTTCACATTGCAACACGTGTGTTCCTAATTTTTTTTATTTCAATTGAATTTTCATCTCCAACCATCCATTAATTGGCACATCTCATACTTGGAAGATAATTTTCGCCTAAACATTTTGTTTGCATGTTTTTAACGAGAAAAAAAAAAATATTTTTCGCATTTTGTATATATTTTCTTTTAAAAACATGATGGGAAAAAAGTCATTTCACACCATTCGAACATACTTTATGGACATAAATTGTCGTCAGGGATAAGATGCATAAATTAATGAGTAATTAGCACATAACGTTCTCACCTTTCAATATTATTGTGGAAAACGTCATTATATTTTATTTTTGATTTTTTATCCTTATTTTCACTTTTCATTGCGCAAAAGATCATTTTCATCCATTTTTACAATTAAAAGTTATGAAATGACGAATATACCCTTCTATTTAAAAAAAAAGAAGAAAAAATAACTAATTGCAATAATAATCCAATTTTTTTTAAAAAAAAGTACGAGTGAGCCCCAAATAAATTATTAATAGAGTAATTAGCATATAATGTTCCATACTTTTCACTATTATGTGAAAAGCATCCATACCTTTTATTTTCTGATATTTTTATCATTAATTACATATTTGATGCAAAATGATGAATATATCCTCCTATTTAAATAGGAAAAAAAAATACAAAAAAATTATTATATTTTTTTAATAATTTATTTTGGACGTGAAAGTCGCCTGTGATTTCAAAGCCGAAATTGATAGCTTCCTCAACGAGTAGAAATCTCGATTCACAATTAAATAAGTTGAAAGTTGAAGCCTGGGGACGGTTTAGGCTCCAATAATTTTTCCCTTTAAGGTCGAGCTCGATTATTATATAATACTGCTAAAGGGAAAGAAACGAAACGAAATATACAAAAGCAGCTCATTGGCCAAAGGGCTTTAATTAAAATGATGCTTTCCTCTGCTTAAGGTAAACAAAATAGCTTGAGAAAAAAAAAAAAAAGAAGTAAAAGCTCCTTTTAATCGGATGCACACCTTCACAAAAGCAGACATCTGATTCCAGTAGAGAGAGATATAGAGAGAGAATCACCATGTCTGACTTGGAGTTTATTCTGTGTCTTCTGGGTTTGGCTCTTCTTACAATCCTTAACCTGTATAGAAGAAAACAAAATTACTCTTTGAATCTTCCACCAGGCAACATGGGTTGGCCTTTTCTTGGTGAAACCATTGCTTATTTGAAGCCATATACTGCTACTACAATAGGAAAATTCATGGAGGAACATATTTCCAGGTAAATAATTCATTAATCCTCATAAACCCCGCAAAAATGTATATAAATTCTCAAGCTGACATTCGAATTCTGATTATAGATATGGAAAAATCTACAAATCCCATTTATTCGGTGAGCCGACGATAATATCGGCCGATGCAGGGCTGAATAGATTCATTCTACAGAATGAAGGCAAATTGTTTGAATGCAGTTATCCCAGAAGCATTGGAGGAATTCTTGGAAAATGGTCTATGCTTGTTTTAGTTGGTGACATGCATAGAGATATGAGGACTATTTCTCTCAATTTCTTGAGCAATGCCAGGCTCAGAACTCATCTTCTAAAGGAAGTTGAAAAGCATACTTTGCTGGTTTTGGATTCCTGGATTGAGAATTCCACCATCTGTGCACAGGATGAAGCCAAAAAGGTATGGAAAATGGCTCGATCATTCTTAAAACCGACTTTTCATTTGAGCTTTTGATGGATTTTTCTTTTTCTTTCTTTGCAGTTTACATTCAACTTGATGGCTGAACACATAATGAGTTTGGAGCCTGGAAAACCAGAGACTGAACAGTTGAAAAAAGAGTACATAACATTCATGAAAGGAGTGGTTTCTGCTCCTTTGAATTTGCCTGGAACTGCATACAGAAAGGCTCTAAAGGTAAAATTATGATGCCCGTATTTATATTTTTAACTAATTACTAGTTCCAATTTTGATTATTTTCCGCTTTTTCTGTGTACAGTCTCGATCAATAATCCTTAAATTTATCGAGCAAAAAATGGAGGAAAGGGTGAAGAAAAAGACTGAAGATAATGATCAAAATGAATTGCTGGGATGGGTTCTGAAGAATTCCAATCTTTCAAAGGAGCAAATTCTTGATTTGGTGCTGAGTTTATTATTTGCTGGCCATGAAACCTCATCTGTGGCAATAGCTTTGTGCATTTACTTCTTGCAAGGGTGTCCCACTGCTGTTCAGCAATTAGAAGTAAACAATCAGCATATCTTTGCTTTATTATAAGTTGTTCCAATCCTGTTATTAATCACGTACTTTTTTCTGTTTATTTGACTTCAGGAAGAGCATATAGAAGTGTCTAAAGCAAAGAGGGAATTAGGGGAGACAGAATTGCGCTGGGATGATTACAAGAAAATGGAATTCACACAATGTGTAATGTTTCTGCCTTTCCCCTTAATTTAATACTTTTAGCCATCCCTAAAAGCAATTTACTTTTTTTTGAAGTATAAGTTACTTTTAAGCACAAATTAAATATTTTATAAGCATAATTTATTAATAATTATTAACAGGTCATAAGTGAGACATTAAGGCTTGGGAATGTCGTGAGATTTCTTCACAGAAAAGCAATAAAAAATGTAAGATATAAAGGTATGATTCTTGACTTGTAAAATAAATATTTTATATGGAAAAAATCAGAAAAATATTTAATTAAAATGGTTTATAATTGTTTTTATTATGAAAAAGGCTATGACATTCCATGTGGGTGGAAAGTATTGCCAGTGATTGCAGCCGTGCATTTAGATCCTGCACTTTTTGACCAACCTTGGCACTTCAATCCATGGAGATGGCTGCAGGTTCGTCCTTTTATCTCTTCAAACCCCTACACTTTTGCTCTGACTCAATCTTCTTCTTTCTCTATCATATTCAATTAGGGTAATGCAATAAATGAATTTTACGATCTTTCTTCCTTAAAAGTTAAAACCCGAAAAGGGATCAAATTGATCGTCGTCTAAGATCGAACTCTAATATCATCTTATATCGAGTTTTCTAGCCTGCATAGTTAAAACCCTTGTGCGTTAAGTTTATTTTATGTTGAATTGCGTAGAGTCCGATAAATTAAAAAGATATTTGTATGTAGCCTAGATGAGTCAAAAAATTGTTGATGAATAGCCATGAAATGTACAAAATATCATAGTAGACAGTGAGAAGTACAAAAGAAGGGTCTCAAGTTCAAAATAGCAATGACTTCTATTCTTGAAGTTGGGTCAATTCTGGTCTGATAGTATTTAAAGCTGTTCTTTGCATCCTTGGATTGCTAAATACCTAAAAGACAGTTGTCCAAACTTTATAATACTAAAATAAAAAGTTTAATTGGAAAGGGAATAGAGAAAGAGATGCTAACCCACCAATCCCCAAAGTAATTATCAATAAACAATTATTTAAGATAGCAGATTTAGCCCTTGCTTGAGATCCATTTTTGTGGTCAATATGCATTTTAAAATAGTATTTTTTTTAGAGAATATATGGTTAAAAAGTAAGAAGAAATTTTGAATTTACGTCTAAAATTATTTCATATGAAATAAAAATCGGATTAAAATTGAAAAACTAGCTGTCATTATTGACTTTATTAGATGAGTGGAGATTCAATAACGACTATATTTTCAGTTTTAATTGGATTTTAATCTTTACCAAACGAGTAGTTAATAACTAAGATCGGTGTTCAAGTTATGTTGAACTTTATTTTAAATTGGTCATATAATCAAGAAACTTTCCACCAATGTCTTAAAAATTTGAATAAAACATCTATCGAGTACAAACTACAAAGAATCCCATGTAAGTAGTACAAGAAATTCATACGGAAATAAACTTTAGTCAAATAATAATCTCATAAAAAAATGAATAGTGGAAATGATATTTCAACGCAGGATAACTGGGCCCATTTCATGAACTGTCTTGATCAATCAACAGATGTTTTTCAAACCCGTACAGATTAAAATATTTGTGAGATGAGATGAAAATCTTTTCTCCACTCTCTCTGTCGTCTCGTGCGTGGCCCGAAGCCCGATGTTGAGCTTATGAATCATTAAAGTTCCCATGTGGATTGTGGGGTTGCACGTGCACATGCACGAGTGCTTTTCATTATGGAGGACCTCTCCCTTTTCTTGCTCCAACCAATTTCTCCTTTCCTTTTTTTATTTTTCTCTTTCTCTTTCTTCATATATAGAGATACTTGTTTGTCTCTAACATCTCAGACCTAACACATTCCCTTATATAATAATAAAATAAATCTCGATAAAAAAGTGTTTATTTAACATACTGATACTTTCATACCTTAGATTAGATATGATTATATAGACGGCCTTACTTAGAATGCCTGCTTTGGAATAAATCTTGATAAAGTCTTCCTTGAATTGATCGAAAATGTCCCATTTTGAATAAATACCCGATAAAGAAATTTCTTTATCGAACATAATAGAATAGAACTAATAATTTTGCCAAAAGTCTTTTCCCCTAATGAGTTCGGTGGATCATACTTGTGGAAATCAGGATAATCGAGAAATATTATCATGTGTTTGTTCTTTAATTAAATAAAATCGTGTCACTTGCCTCCTTTTTAGGAATTATGGCAACACATGGAATAACCACATAATTGAGTGTGTTGTGTCGTTGTTGGTGCAGAATAATACTCGCGGAAGTCAAAATGCGACAACAACTAGTAATAATTTCATGCCATTTGGTGGAGGACCACGACTTTGCGCAGGGACAGAGCTGGCCAAACTGGAGATGGCTGTATTCATACACTATCTAGTCCTCAATTTCCGTTGGGAATTAGCCGATACGGACGAAGCATTAGCATTTCCATTTGTCGATTTTCCCAAAGGCTTACCCATTAGAGTCCAACGTCATGCTTTATAATGGAGATGAAATCGTCCACAAAATCTAGAAAACGAAATGTGTGATGGATAAATGGAACAAGATCATGTTTTCCGATTTCCGAAAATGAAATTTTCTTGGATTTTAATGGAACGTCTTTTGGGCTCACATGACTTTGAGGGAGAAAGGCATTTCCCACAAATTATATTAGGACCACATTACATATATCTATATATCCTCATTCTTCTGTGTAAATTGTATCCTTTTCTTTGATTTTGTAAGTGGAATGCACAATTAATTATTCTTATGCAATGTGATTTTGTATCAGTTGATAAAGTCGTGTGTAACTGATACTTAATACGTGGAAATATATATTATTCACAAACACATCTCTGATATTATTGTTAACAAAATTCCCCTCTTTCACTTCCACCTAAGCTGACTCATCTCATGCAAAATAAATAATAAAATAATAAAATCTTTAATGAACGTGTAGTTTGCTATGGGAAATGCTACATGAATATAATGGTTGACATAATCATTGACATAATGTCACATGACAACTTATCATTGGACTGTTTAAAACACGGTCAACTTTTTCAATCAATTACATATTGTCAACACTTATTTTGTCAACCA